GCATGCTAAATCTAGATGGAAACATGTAAAAGTTATCACCATCACACTTTTAGCTTCTTAAATGACATAACAGAAATGTGTAGATCCAGATGTTGCAGAATAACTTTTGAGATGCTTCCATTATCAAATGAAAATTTCTGCCGGCACAGTACCTGTACTGTAAAATAAATAAATGCCTGTACTGAATGCTTTAAGCAAATATTAGCATGCAGAAAGGTTAATCTGAGTATTCACAGACAGTGTAAAATTATTGCTTTGTTATAACTAAAATTTAGCATACACACACACACGCGCGACTGCTTTAATCTCAATGGCTGTGAAAGAGTGAAAAAACAAAAACAAAAAAAGCACATATTCATTGGATTTTATTTTGAGGTATGAATGTTTTGTTGTTCTGTGAGATAAAACTGTTAACTTGGCTCTCTTTGTTTTCTCCAAAGGTCACACTCTAGCCTATTTAGAGCATTTACTGCAGCAAACCAGCAAGCAATCACCGTAATTAGAGGTAAATGCAAAGGCATAATGGGGGAAACAAGCATACATGGGAGGCCACGCATGACAAATTGCTGCATTAGCAATTTGATACAAATTAAATCAGCAGAGCCCTCGCAAGAGCGTGTGATTTACAACGGACGGGGGGCTGAACGGAGAGGTGATCGAGAGGTGAAACGGAGCCCTGATTTGTCGAGCAATACGTCTACATTACATCTGCTGAGCTGAGGACGCATTTAGCTCGTTGAAAATACGGCGGTAATGTTACCGTTAACGCGACCACAGCGCTGGCAGAGGGCCGTTCCCCAGCCAGCCCTGAACACAGCGCACTGGAAACTCACTCTGATTGGACAGGTCGGGAGAGATTGCAAGCCTGCATTGCTTCCGCGCAGTGGCTGAGTGGTTTTTGCTGTATGATTGATCTAACCGATCACCTCATTTCCTCTCCTATGTACCGAAGCCGCCAAAGCAAGTGGTATTTATCTGTCTGAGAGAGCGGTTCCGAAGGTGCCAAGCACAACACAGGAAACGGCTCTCCGCAGATGTTCTCGTATCTGCCCGTGGAAGCTCTGAGGTCTGATTGCTGGCCGTGGGATGAAGCGGCTAAAGAGGCATCGGTGAGGTTGACCAGTGAGGAAGTGACAGAGTGCTTACGAGGACTGAGAGGCTGCCAGCTGCACAGAGTAGGGCCGACCAGTGATTTGACCGAGAGATGTTAGTTGTGGTACTTTATAGTAAGAATTGGGTGAGGTTCAGTGCTACTACAGCATTAGAAAATTGCTGGAACACTAAGGCTTTTAGAAAAAAAAAAGTAGAAGACAGCACTAAAGAGGATGGGAGTATGTAATTCTAAACTTAGCTGCAAAAAAAATGCAGACAGGGGGAATAAAGTTTATGAGCTTTGAAATAATTAAATAAGCGAAAACCACAGTCAAGCTCTTGGCAAAGGCTGAAAAAGAATGGTCTTCCAGTCTAAACGTCAAACAGCCAAGCTAAGTGCATTTTGAGCAATGAGCATTGTGGACAATGAGTTTACCAAAAAATCCACTATGCATATTGACTAAAAATATCTTGTCTGAGTGGAGTGGTGGAGGGAGCTACTGAGAATGAAGTCATATCCCTGTGGAGCTTGGTTTTAGTTTCCTTCTCCACAGCAATCAATCGGCATGGAAACTTTTAGTTATTTTAGCCTCTGGATCCGCTAATAGATGCAGAGAAAACTCACCACATACACACATGTATAAATCTCATATGTATGACAAATCGGAAGCTGCCATTTTGTTGTTTTTCTTTTGCTTTAAAGTTAAAAAGCCTGTGAGCACACAGAACCTTCGCTGCAAAGACAGCGACCATGCTTTTACATGAGTCAGGATCAATTCATTATAACATACCATTATCTATTTTCATTTATATATATTTTAGGGTTATATGAATATAACCCTGATGAATTAGTCACCATTCCAGTTGGCCAACAAAGACATGGGCATTAGTAGGTCAGCTGCCTACTAATCAGCCGGTTGGGCAAGTCCTTGGGCAAGTCTCCAAACCTAGTGTTTGGGTGAGTGAGTGCACTGGTGAATCAGTCATGTAAAGTCATTTGAGTGGTCTGTTCCACTAGATAGGTGCTATAATAGTGCAGTATAGTTCCATGAAAGGATTTCACATAATAGGAAATAGTCTTTGAGGTAAGCAACACTTATATACAATGAGAAACCCCGAGAACCAGCTTAGACACCTTTTAAAACTAGGAGATGCTTGAAAACTGCAAAACCAGCAGCTCGTTCATCACTGAATGTGACACCAAACATCTGTGCACACTCGTAAAGACACACATCGTCGTGCACACACATGCGATCTTTATGCGACACCGTTTGGAAAATAGCTGACGGCAGCAGTTTAGCCGCTCTCAGCCCTCACCTGAAGGGGATCGACTTACAGAAGGGGCCAACCAAAAATATCAATAAGGGTGATTGAGCTGTGCGCTGCTCAAGGATAAAGAGCTTATTTTTTAAACCTCTGGAAATATACTCCGGCTCGGCGTGTAAAATTGCTGTCGCTTTAAGCAAATCCCTGATTAAATCCCTCCAAACACGTTTGGTTGGTAGCGAGAGGGGAAGCCTGGTGTTGGATGCGAGGCACGGCGCCAGCCATGGGAAGAAGAGACAGAGAGAAGGAAGGGGAGGAAGTTAAAGAAAGAAATGTAAAGGTTGGGGGAGGAAGACAGTGTGTCTGAAAACATAAAGCTTAGCGCTTTACATTCTGCGGATGATGCTGTTTGACGTCTGTCTATGGCTCCCCTCAGGCATTTTTCATCCTGTACATGTTATAAAAGTGACAATTTCATGGATGACTGCGACGCAAAACCATCTTCCTGTTGCTGCTCCACTGTTTTCTACAGATTTGACACAAAGGGATCAATATATTCCATCAGAATTGGTGGCTGTGGCATTGATGTTGAAAATACTGGTTGTGAGGAGCGTGAAAGACATGAGCACCTAGCAGTCAAGCTTGGGGGTTGCTGCATGTGCCAAACAGCCGGCAACATCAGGGAGGTTTGCTATCCAAATTCTAGCTTTGATGTGTGCTGGATGGGTTTGCAGCTTCTGTGAATAGAGCAGGACAACATTGCCTCATACGGGTCATTACGTTTTATTACCTTTCTCCAAATCTCTTCATGTGGCATATTATTGCCATTTTGAACAGTAATGTTTGATTTGCGCGGGTGTGTACGCACGCACACACAGGTACGCCCACCCACTTGCCACCACAGAAACAGGAAATAAAGGAAAGGCTACAAGAGCACAAAGTTATATTAATTCAATGCTACAGGCGAGGGCCCGGATTTCTTCTAAATCGTCTTTGCACAGCATACCTTTTTGTCTATTATCGCTCTGCGCACAGACTGGCGCTCAGGATTGCTTGTTTATGCAACAGTGACAGTTTATATAGAAGCAAAGCAAAGAAATGAAAGCACAACAACAATGTGACAGTATGACCTCGAGCCGTTTTGCTGCGGATCAGCCCACGCGCCTCATTAAAACAGAGTGACTCATGTCGCTTGGAACATAAGTCTTGAGAAAGGGTCACACAAACCCTCACGCTGCAAACAAAAAGACAGAAAAAGAAATAGTCATTAGCATGGGGCTTAAAGATTGAAACATTTTGTGTAAATGGACTGAATTCTAACGTCTCATGCATGATTTATTAGCCATATTCAAGGTCTTGACCAAAAAACTTCTATCTTTTGAAGAGAATTGTGTATAATAATTCTATTTTCCTTCCTCTGCAAGACTCTTTTGATTGCATGAAAGCCACCACAAAAAAAAGAAGGCATTTTTCACACAGAATCAGCTTTAAAAAAATCCTTCATCCAAATTCATTGTCTGTGCTGGTCACAAGAGCAGTAACATTTTAATCTTTCACTCCTCACATCTCCAGCTAAGCTCTATGTGGTAACCTGGGGTCTTCTGCTCAGCAAATCTCCGAATATAACCTTTTAAAAGAATAATATCCCATTTTGGAGAGGTAATTGACTCTTTGAAGTCATGGTAGCTTAAGGTTTTGGAAGTAGGGCAACTCTTTCATGTGTGATTAGATGTCCTTAAGCCCATCTTCAGTTAGCAAAGGGATGGAATAAAAAAGCAGAGTGATAAGTCAAGGCTGATCACTCTTGATAAATCACAGGCACTTGGGCTGTAGCTGTCCAGGATCTGTTCCACAATTTTAGATGTGTTTTGAAGCGTTCGTAGATTTGAAAAGAGCTGCTTCTAGCTGCAAAAGGACGAACAGCTCCCTGTGGCAATGAAAAACTGTGAGGCAAGAATGTGAGCATAACAGGAGCACGAACAATAAAGAGAGAGCACGGAAAAGGTGCAGAGCACATGTTAGTGCTGTTGCACGCCGCCGAATTGCTGCCAACAATCAAACCAATGTGTGGCTTTGGCTCAGATGCATAAAGGCAGGCTTACTGGCTTACCTCAGCACTGCACCAGAGAGGAACTGTCACTGGATATTACCATGTGGCCCACTGAGCCGACTCTCCCACCTTGCAGCAGATAGGGATAACTTTAGAGCCCTACTTCCTCCCACTCTCTCGCCCCGGGGGCCCACATGTTCCCCCTACTACTTGATATGTGTTCACATGCAATTTTGCCGTTGGAAAAATTTACATTAAATATGAATAGCCTTAACAATAAAGGGGAACTCAAAGAGATGGAATCCAGGGTACATAAAATTAGCTCAATTTGTGTCACACAAATCTATCAGCATTCTACCATTCTTTGAGTATTCTTTTAATGAAACAAGTTAATATCACATAATGCGTTTTCCCCCAAATAAACCATTTGCTTTGAGCTCTTTTTTTTAAACTTTGAATAAGATGGCAGAGGACCAGAAATCACGTAGATTTACATGGTGGATGTATGAATACAGCAGGGTATAATATGTTAGAGATGATGCATGGATGATGTTAATCCTCGGAACACGTATGCATATGCCAGGCTGCAGCTTTAAGTCAAAGTTTCCTCTATATCCTCTAGGGACAAGTGCGCGGAGGAGTGGCTGGGGCTGGACCTGGTCTTTAGGCTTATGGAGCCGTAGAGTTTGGCCGATCGCTTGGAGTAAGCGACCACCTTCCTCCTGTACATCTCCCCCTTCCACATGGAGACCATCAGCAGCGTGGAGAGCACCACGCCGCCCAGCGTGAGCAGGCACAGCCCCGCTATCACGCACCGGTCCAGGTGGGCGCCGATCCGGGCGCTCTCCATCTCCAGCTTCTCCATCTCCCGGGCCGACACGCTGTCCCGGTCCACCTCCACGTCGCGCGGCACCGCGTAGGAGATGATGACCAGCGAGATCCCGGTCACCAGGAACGTGACCGCGCTGATGAAGCCGTAGTCTATAGAGCTCCCGGAGCCGTCCCCGAAGGAGAGGTCGTCGTCGGACATGAAGGAGAGCTCCGGGAAAGTCTCGGAGCAGGGCTCGCCGTTGCGCACGGGCCTCTGAGTACTTTTGCAACTCGTGTCCGGGCTGGCGAGTCTGAGGTTCACGTTCTCGTCGACGAAGGTGAACGAGGTCTCCAGTTCCTCGTCGCAGCACACCCGGACTTTCTCCTCGCAGAGCGCGCGGGGTTTGGGCTCCGGGCCCCCCTTGCGCGGAGCTGTCCGAGGTGCTGAAGAGCGGCGGCCGCGGCTGCCGCGGGCCGGGTTGCGGCTCCCCTCCCCGGGGAGCGCGCCTCCTGTTGACCCGGCCGGTCCGCGGTCAGCCGGGTCAGCCTGCGCGGCTCCTCCATCCGGGAGAAGCTCTGGAGAAGCCATCCCTGTTCACTCTGAGTCTTCCTCCCACGATGGTTTCACTCCACAGCATCCCTAAAAAAAAAAAAAAAGAAAAAGGCACACACCGGTTCCAAGTTCAATGCTGCATCTTAATTAGACTAGCCTCCAGCAGAGTGCTAAAGCAAGATGTTTGAATACTAAAAAATAAAAAAAAACTTCTGCCAATAGACTGGAAAGTTTCAATAATGCACATATCTGCTGTCGTTCCAAATGTAGGACCAATTTAAAGTAGATTAGAGAGTTTGAGGGAGGTCCGCGGACGCCGCGTTAAATGCGCTTAGAAAGATCGGCGATTAGCCAAATGCCTCCCTATCCAATTAGGAAAACATTTCACGTTTAAACCGAGGTTAAGCCGCAGCCGCTTGTTCTCAGAAGGACAATGCCTAATGAATAGACCCGTTTGTCGAAACGAAACTAGCCTACAACTAATCGATGCAGCGCAAAAACCTATATCCATGGGCGGAGATGGCCACGTTAACTATACTCCATCCATCAGCAGAGCTGAGGATGAGAAACAAAAAAATAAAAAAATAAGGAGGCTGTCGTTTTCATCTGCACACTTTTTATGCGAATTCAGCACCAGATGCGATAAGCCCCTCTGCATCATGGGGTGGACCGGCCATGCACATTTCCAGGTTTATTCTCATTTTCCGGAATCCCTCATAATAAAAAAACCCTCACCAGACTGCACTGATATGAGGAAACAAACTCACCGCGCTACGTCGGCATCCCGTCGGACCCCTCTTCTTCAGCCACATTGGTGAAGATGAGACCACAAGATAAGAGAAGGGGGGAGAGATTTATCAGGGAAAAATGTGCAGTGGATGTAGTCAGTCCTTGCGCGATGCCGTGGTGGCCGTGTGCTCTGAGGGGATCTTTCCCCTTAGTCCCTCCCACACACACACATCCAATGAGGCGCAGAGAGGAGCGCCACTATCTGAGCCGATAGAGATCACCGCCAGTCAGTCAACACATAAGGGATGAACGATTTGAAGAGCAGAACAGAGGAAGGAAAACTAAAAAAAAAATTCTATACCGGCAGTGCTTCCCCCCTCTTCCGAATTTGGAGCTGCTGAAACGTCACTCAGAAGCTGAACGGGTTAGTGGGTCACACAGCAGGAGATTAAATACTATCAAGAAACTAAGTATTGGTTCTGGATTCTGCAGGAGCTTGTATAACATTTAAGTTTAGAGTGGCTGCTACAAAAAAAAAACTGCAGTCTGCAGGAATATAAATAAATGATCATCCTGCTCAGTTAGGAAATATGTGCTCTATCTAAAACAGCCAAGTGTCCCTTTATGCTGCCCTGGTCAGATCTTGCTGAAAATAGTATGGAAATACGTTAAAGAATCAGTTGTATAATGAGTCAGCATTGTTAGTATGTCAGTCAAAGTTATCCAGCTGTGTAATGCAGCTAGTGTTGTACAACTGTTTGTATCATACACCATCTGCTCTCTTATGCCCTCTCAGAAGATTACTGGTCACTATGCCAAAGCCATCCTAATCCATGTTTAATCTAGAGATCTAATAGGTCAACTGGTCAACCACCATTTCATTCTTTTGGAGGTCCATTTAATTTAAGTCGCTATAGTCTTCATCTTGGTCAAATTTGTCAGACATTCAAAACAAGCATTGTTTGATTTTTTTATATATTCTTTTGGTTCAGAAAGCTACACTAGATGCAGGGCATCATCGGTCAGTAAGTGCATAATCCCACTTCAGGCCGAATACTAATTTTGCTGACTGTTCCACCCTATTTGGACCAGGCAGACGGTAGCAGCTATAAATATAGTTGCCACTTTTTTCTGGAGTCCAAGTGGCTGGGTGACCGGCTTTGGCCCGCGTCCCAACATGACTCCATTTAACAGATGAGCGAAGAGAAAGGGAGGGTGGCGAGGCGAGGAGAGACAGAGAGGCAGTCAGAGGAACGTATTTACATGTGATTTTTCCTTTTTTTTTGCTCTCAAATTTAGGTTGCAAGAAGATGGAAGGGAGTAGAACTACACCTGGTGGGTCATCGTGTTTAACGCTGCGGTTAGCGGCATTGTACTCAACCTCAGACTGTCCCAAAGACGATAGAAGAAGCTGAAATCTGACCCCTGGATACGTCGGAGGGGTAACAACGGCCAACTCGGATGTTATCTATCCGCAACAGTGCACCACTTTTCCTGCTGGCAAGGACACCAGCCCTGGGAGAGGAGGGGCCTCTAAAAGCAATATATCCTCATAGACCATTTCCAGCCACAGACATGCTTCCTCATAAAAAAAAAACTGTGAAACATTAATGTAGCGCTGGCTTTTCTTTAGCCACCTGGGAGGAAGGTGATGTGGACACACACATACACACACATAAATACTGCAGCTGGAAGGATAAAATTAGAGAGGTGGGGTACTTCTATGTGTGGGAGAGTGAGTTATTAACTGATTCAATGGATGAGGGTGCGGCTGAGCTCATCTCACCTCCATCCGCTGGAGCCAGCTCAATGTCTGACTTAAGGAGGCTAGCAGGGCTAAATAAGTACTGCGTGAAATTTGAAATAGGCTACTCTCAGGGAAAAAAAGTTCTTTGTACTAACTCTGTGTGACCTTAATCCCGTATGCATTGTAACACACTGCAATGCACAGACAGAACAAAGTAAGATTCTAGAGAAGTCTAGATTGCGTCTGCTTTTCTCTTTAGCCAGGATACTTTTATTGGAATGACATTTTTCGAACACACAAACTGATCGTGATTATATTTTAATGCACTGACATAAACTACATTACAATTAGATGGAATTGTAAAGCATTCATTTGCATTTGGACTAAAATATTTTGCTTTAGAATGCCCAGACATGTATCTTTTTTTTTTTTTTTTTGTCTCAAACATCACATTTTTGTGTAGCAACTCCATTACCCAAGAGTTTATTCACAATCCCAGATTGGGAAACCATCATTAAGACAAGTGGACAAATGTATTCTTAATTTTCTGGTGTGACCGTGCCATAATAAATGTGGTTTCTAGGAACAAGTAATGGTTTATATTTATTCCAAGGACAAAATAAGCCCATTAGAAGTAGTTTGATGGAAGCCACTAGTGTATTAAGGAGGAATGAATACCGGATGCCAGCTTCTGAATGACAGAATGGAAATGTCTCCTCTAGGCCAGAAGCCAAAAAAGGTTTCTGGCTTGAGAGTTTTATTTCCTTTTTTGTGGCAAACTGCATAGGCTCATTAGTGCTTTTTGCATTGGTTCTGCTCCAGTGATTGCATTAGTCACACAAATTCAATAGAGACAGCGATGACACTTATACTCCAAATAAAACACTTGGCTTCACTTCTCATGTCTTTGTTTTTAATTAAAGTTCTAAATTTGACCTGATTTTGAAAGAGAATCCCTGTTTCCATACTTTTTCTCACACATGTCACAAATCAAAGCGCTGGAATGGTGATAAAAACATGTAGGTGCTACATAACATCTGCCACTTGTCTCACAACTGTTAAAATCACGTGGAAAAACATACAGCTTACAAATTGCCCCAAACTCTATTGAAGTAAGCAGACTAAATGGACGTGAATCCGGGTCCCTTCAAGTTGTAACATAGACTGTGCCCCTGTCCAAGTGCTATAATGGGAAAAATATAAAACCATTTTAATAGATTAGTCGCTAAGCCCCCCTTTTCATAGCGTAATATGAATCAATTTGACAGTTTAATGCTGAATACTACCATAGGAGGCCAATTGATTTTAAGGACAGTCAAATGTCCTCCTTCACACTATATTCCACTTCTCATAGTGCACACATAGTTTCACATTTAAAAAAAAACATGCAGACAGTAAAGGAAAAAGCACAACACATTGTTTTTTCCTCTGCTGGAGATCAGAAGTGTGCCACCCCAGTCAAGCCCTTTAGATTATTAATAAGCAGGTGTGCTCAGTCCCCTGGGTTTGTTTTTGGAAGATCTGGCACGCAAGCCTCCTCCTGCCGCTCTGAAAAAGCACTTCAGACAAGGATGCTGGCAGACAGCATGAATGGAGAGAAAGGCCATCTGAGGTTAAGTCTGGATTTTTTTTCCCCCTTGACTTCCTTTTATATCGGTTGTGTGTTGCACTGGCAGCAGACATGTCCATGAAATATTTAGTACTTCAACCTCCAAGTCCAGTTACAGTCACTCTCCTAATCAAAGCATTGGGGCTGGCACCAACTCAAGACAATACTGGAAAATGATCGTGAAGTTATGGCTTTTTGTGTGTTTGTGTGTGTGTGTGTGTGTGTTTTCTCCTTTGTCAACGCAAATCTTGTCAGGACATGCTGTTCTCACATGTGGTTCTACAGAGGCAACACTTTCTCGCTGGTTCATTTTTGACTGAGGCAGTGTTAAGGGGTAAGGGTTTCAAATTGAACTGTTCATGATCAATGGAACTTAATTAAATGTTCTAATAAAAGTTCTCCTCCCTAAAACATACCCATGGGTCATTATAAGGTAGACTTGGAAGCATATCCTTTGCTTTTATTCATTTATTAGTTTGCATTTGTGTTTGTTCCATGTTCTTGTCCAAGCCAGATTTAGGTTATCTTTTTGCTTTGTTCCCCTGAGGTTCCTGCTTGGCTTTGCCTTTCATTAAATCTTTTTGTTGAGCATTTGTTTTTTGTCCTACTTATCCTCAATCACCTGTGGCATTCATACCCCATAGATGAATTAAGAAAACTCATGGCTGTTTGGCTGCTTTAATCCTACCAAGGCCAATGTAAAATGAGAGTTATTGGATGTGATACATATGAAAGGAACAAGCGGTGATGAGAAGAGATATTACAAGCCTTCTGATAGTTATATGTTCATAAAGGTAGATATGTCTTATAAAAGCGAAGTAGGAAAGCAACTGTGCATGAAGAGGAAAAATGACCAACTGCAATGGCTGTAAAAAAGAATGATAATTTTCTCACCCAAACCAAACCTAATCAGGAAATTGCATAGGTCTTTTAACAAAGCACTGCAACTTC